CAGGTAGTGCAACATATACTGCTCCAGAGAAGTTCAATGACAGTATTCCAGAGGGGATGCTCTCCTGGAACTATGCCTTTCCTCCCATCCTACAACTCTCTCCGATTCTATGGAGGATTGGACAGGACAGAGTATGAGTTATCTTCATCGCCTCCAAATGGCCTAGATAGTTCTGCTTTCCCATTTTCCTGACAAATGTCAACCCATTTGCTCGTCAGTATTCATTCCTTCCTGAATCTCTGACCAAGGAGAATGGCAAGGCCAGGATCCCAACCTGGAGTCTCTTCATCTCATGGCTTGGTATTTGGATGGGCATCACACTGAAAATGTTCATGTTGTGCAAGCCATTCTTAATAGCAGAAAGGACTCCACCAGGAAATGTTAGTTAGCCAAATGGATACGTTTTTCTGTCTGGGTCTAGCAAACCGTTGTCACCAAAAACAGTTGATAAGTCTGCTATTTTGGATTATCTCCTTGCTCTCAAGGTGACAGGCCTTTCCCGAAGCCTGCTATGGATTCGCATCTGACCAATCAGTGTTTGTCACCTGCTAACAGATGGTTACTTGATCTTTACTCATCCAGTAACAGCTGGGTTTTTGAAGGGTCTGATCAAAACCTTGTTGCTGGGGGAGGGAGACAACCCTCATGGAGATCTTAACTTCGTGCTTTCAGCACTCTAGGCCACCCTTTGTGTTCTGTGTCTCACCTGTCAGTGAAGGTCATGTTCATCATTACAATCACCTTTCCAAGAAGGGTAGGTGAACATGAGGACCTAATGGCCAATCCATCATACACAATATTCCACAAGGACAAAGTCTTGCTACACCTAAACCCAAAATTCACTCCTAAAATAGTTCAGGAATTTCACAAAAATCAGTTAATTCACATGTCTGTGTTTTCCCTGAAGCCCCATACATCTAGAAAGTAGTGATTTCATTCCCTCAACATGAGATAAGTATTGGCATTTTACCTGCAGAGAACGAAACAGATGAGGAAATCTCCTAGACTATTGGTTGCCAAAGCAGAATGAGTGTGAGGACAAGCTATATTCTCTCAAAGAGTCTCTCATTCTTACTCTATTAGTTGGCACAACTTCCTTCTCATGGGATAAGGGCTCACTCTAGAAGGGTACATGCAGCCTCATTTAGCATCACTTCAAGAGGTGTCCCTGCGTGATATTTACAGGGCCACTGTGTGGAGTTCGAGCCACACATGCATGAGACATTATGTCTTGACCCAAGACTACTTCACTGACACATCCTTTGGGGGCAGCGGTTCTAAAGCAGCTCTATAAACTTCATTATCATGCCCTCCTCCCCTGAGTGCTTGTTGTGAGTCACCCACAGTGGAATATACATAGGAACCAGTACTCATAGAAGAAAGGGAAGTTACTTGCCTTAAAGTAACTGGAGTTCTTCCAGATGTATGGTCCCTGTCTGCATTCAGCTGCCCGACCTTCTTCCCTCTGCTTTGGATCATGACAAGATTTGTGGTAGAGAAAGAACTGGAGAGGCTTTTAGTCAGCCCTGCCCCTGATACCTTCAGTGTGGAGCACAGTGATAATGAATGTGCAGGTGTGGTCCAGCAGAAGTGGCTTGCAATAACTTCTCAGACTCAGGTGCTTAGAGTTCCTGTGGACCCCCATAGGGACTACACATCTTGAAGAACTCCAGTTATAATAAGGTAAGTATCTTTCCTTCAAAGGGGGTATTCAAGGTGGTAATCACAATTACTTTCCTTGTAGGCTTCATACCTCTTGACCATCAGGATTGGAAATGAATCCATTATGCCTCTTTGGAAAGCTAAAAATCCAGTTTTCCAGTGGCTTCCTATATTATAATGATTTCAGTTCCTTAATGATTGCTGCGATTTATTCCATGTACTGATGACACGCTTAAAAAAAAAAAAAGACCTTTCCTGTTATCTAACTTCTTCTCTTCTGCTAAATTGTAATATTCAGTAAATATCTGCTTTTCGGAGAACAGAACCAAGCCTATTGTCTGACTAACCTAAGACAAATATCAGTAGAATTACTAAGAGAAGAAATATAATTTTAAGTAATCACTTTACAGCTCCTTTGTGGTTTATGAAAATTATGACCTCACTTCCTGCTTGTTTTTATATTAGAAATATCAGGTCCTTATTACCCTCTATTTGAGGAGTGGGATTGTGACATAGCTCAAATCTGAGTCGCAAATCTTCCAGCTGCTAATTGAGCACAGTGTTACTGAGTCTTAAAAATTGAATTTGATCATCCTATCCCTCCCCAATAGGCTGTCAGCCAAAAACGGTGTCATGCTCACTATCCTCCAAAGGATGACAGAGTTCTCCAGGAAAAAGGGGATATCATGGCCTGAGAGATTTATGTCTATCACAATAGTTTTAGCTAAGAAAAAAGCAGGAAAAACTGCTATTTATTTAAAGCAACAGAGGGTCCTGTGGCACCTTTGAGACTAACAGAAGTACTGGGAGCATAAGCTTTCGTGGGTAAGAACCTCACTTCTTCTTACCCACGAAAGCTTATGCTCCCAGTACTTCTGTTAGTCTCAAAGGTGCCACAGGACCCTCTGTTGCTTTTTACAGATTCAGACTAACACGGCTACCCCTCTGATGCTATTTATTTATTTTTTAAAAATACAGTCTTAAGACAGCGAAACAATTAAATCAGGAGTGGGCAAACTTTTTGGCCCGAGGGCCACATCTGGGTATGGAAATTGTATGGCGGGTCATGAGTGCTCCCAAAATTGGAGGTTAGGGTGTGTGGGGGGGAGGGCTCCAGCTGGGGCTATGTGCTCTGGGGTTGGGGCTGGGGATGAGGGGTGCAGGAGGGTGCTCCAGGCTGGGACCGAGGGGTTCGGAGGGTGGGAGCGGGCTCAGGGCTGGGGCAGGAGATTGGGGCGTGGGAGGGGGTCAGGGCTGCAGGTTCCAGGCAGTGCTTACCTCAAGCAGCTCCCAGAAGCAATGGCATGTCTCTCCTCTGACTCCTGCACGGAGGCGCAGCCAGGCGGCTCTGTGCACTGCCTGTGCGGCAAACGGGAGCTGCAGGGGCGGTGCTTGGGGTGGGGGCAACATGCGAAGCCCCCTGGCTGCCCCTACGCATAGGAGCCAGAGGGGGCATATGCTGTTGCTTCCGGGAGCTGCACGGTTGAGGCAAGCCCCAGACCTCACTCCCCAGCGGGAGCTTGAGGGCTGGATTAAAACATCTGGGGGACCAGATGGGGCCCCCGGGCTGCAGTTTGCCCACCCCTGAATTAAATGATAAAAGAGACAGTCCTCTGTTACTCACTGTTCCCTTGCCTGGAGCACCATGTGATCCATCAAAAATCAGTTGCGTTTTTATTATTACAGTAATATTAGGGGTTTTAAATAATCAATTAGTAACAAAATATTTCCTGTTTCTCTGTTTTAGTATAATAGAGTTAACTGAAATTTAGCATCCATGTCAACCATGTTGCTTTTTGAAAAACATAACCTTGTCCTGACCAGTGGGAATGACAATTGCTAGCAATATCATGATTTGCAAATCAGACCAATTAATTAGGCAGTGGCTCAGTAACCGGAATTGACACTTTCAGAATCAGAGGTTCTTACGGAGTTGTGTAACAAGCTGTTGAGCCACCTGGCTGCCATTTTAAAATGTACTGTTGGTTTATACTCGTCAGTCTCACTAAACCAAGACTGATTTTTTTTTCAGAAGAGAGGGAAATTAAATAAAAATGATTTTATTTTACTTTATATTTTATCAAAGAAGATACTGTTTGTATTAAATAGTTAAAAAAACCCACATAGACATAACGGAGAGGATGCTATAGAAGACAAACATAAGCTTATGTCTTTGGCAGCTATGTGCTGTCTCCCCTTTTGCTGTTTTTGGAGAACAGTTTCAGTTCTTTCCAATGTATAGCCCATTGTTTGCACAAGAGATGGTTTTTGAGAATCACAACTATAAAGTCTGCTGTGTCCAGATCTTTTTTTTTTAAAATGCATTTGACTGTGCTGTTGACCTCCAGAATCTCTGAAATTGACACTCCTTTGGGGCAGAAAGTGCTGATTTGGGAAGCAGTGGCTTAGAATATTCTCATTAGCAGCTTATGTTTCTTCAAAAAAAAAAAATCACAGTAAGCGAGGTTTAGCAGCTGCTGTGGCATTAAATCAAGTTCTGAGAAAAAAGCAGCTCAATCTGAAATGACAGGCAAATATGTTTATGGGATTTATGAAATGTTTGGTCTTAAAATTGAATAATTAAAATGTATTTACCTCTAGGTCCTATACTAATGACCTCGAGTTGTGTGTTGGCTGGATTTTTGTTCATTTTCATAGGATCTAAAGCAGATTACATTTGGCAGATATTCTGTGTATTCCCTCTGTGGTGCTCCAGCACTGACTTCACATGTTTTCCACATCTGTAAATTCGTATGCCTTTATACTTATAAATAAAAACCTTAGCTTCACCACTTCATAGCTGAGCTTTTTTATGCAGTTTCTATGTAGACAGACAGTAGCCGTTTTAGTCTTTAGTGGTATTTTGAATAGTACTGGTTGATACCAATATTCTCTGTGAACTAATGACAGTATTACTTATACCACATTGATAGGTTCCTGCAAACACTAATTTTTGGAGATCTCTAATATTAGTTTTATTTAACAACTTCCATTTTTAGTTGTTTTGTAAAGAACTGGCCTAGTGAATTTAAATTGTCCTCTTCTTCTCCTTAGACCTGCTTCCTAAAAATGCACATAACATGTTTATATAAATGTGTTCTTTATTCAGACCAATCTTAAATCTTGCCAAAGACATTCTGTTTCAAAAAATTACTGGCTTCCTTTTTTAGAAATATAGTGAAGGAAAAAATCAGAACAAAAAGTGGTATGTCAAATTGACTTGTTGATCTTCCACAAAGCAGAGTAAAATTAACTTCATTTACATATTTTAAGTGGAAAAGAATGGCTTTAGAGGACACATCTGAATGTTTTAATTTGAATTATCTGTGTGTATTTAGGCCACAGAAAGTGAGGCTGGTGATATGGATCTGAGTGGGTTACCAGAGACTGCAGTGGATTCTGAGGATGATGATGATGAAGAAGACATTGAGAGGGCGTCAGACCCTCTGATGAGCAGGGATATTGTTAGAGACTGCCTGGAGAAAGACCCAATAGACAGGACAGATGATGACATTGGTAAGTTGGCATGAAAACTAGCAGGAGGGAGTGGGAAATTGAGCCTCAGGGCACTCTAATATTATTTAACATGTTCTAACTTATTTCTCAGTCCCAAATTTAGTAGAGTGAATCTGTGTAACAAATATCTAACTTCATGTGAAATAATTAATTGTTTAAAATACCAAATGACTGATTTTTACAGCTTACATTTGGATAACTAGCATAAATAATCATGCTAACAATAACAGTTACGCTGAAAACAAAATTAATGAAGCAACTCAATTTAATTTTAAACTAGATACTCCACTGACATGATATAGATTTTAGGTTGAAAATTAATGTCACAAAAATATACTATTAACGTAAAAGAGAAGCAAATATTCAGTTGGAGCACAAGGTTTTGAAAATAGCAAGATATGATTTAAGATATTCTTCTTCCACAGTACAAATGGGATTCTTGAATTTGTTGTGAGATTTTTTTTTAAGCTATTGGTTCCCAAGTATAGGGTTGCCAACTTTCTAATGTCTGAAAACTGGAGACATACACCCTGCTCCACCTCTTCCCCCAAGGTCGCACACGTGCTTTCTCATCTCTCCCCATTTCCCCCATTGCTCACTGCTCTCCTCCCTCTCCCTTCCTCATCGCTTGATCCTCTCCACCTTCGCCCCCCACCCCCAAGATGGGCTCCCTCTGCTCCTGGGCTAGGATAGGAGCTGCAGCCTGTCTGCCCATCAGATGCAGGTAGGAAGTAGCCCTGGCAGAGCAGGGGCTGGCATGGGTTGATGACCAAGTGCCTCTCCCAATCCCCCATGGTAACTGGACTGTTGGCGTCCGATCGGTATATCTGACCTGACCAGCTTGTGCTTGGGGCGGCACCTGGAGGGGGGCGGCGCGGTGCGGTGCTCCGGCCTCTGGGGAGAGCGGGGCCACGGCCGGGGCTCGCCGCCCTCCCCGCGGCGCTCTGGCAACCTGCACTCCTGACCCCCTCCCGCGCCCCAACCTCCAGCCCCAGCCCTGAGCCCGCTCCTGTCCTCGGAACCCCTCGGTCCCAGCCTGGAGCACCCTCCTGCACCCCCAACCCCTCATCCCCAGCCCCACCCCAGAGTCCATACCCCAGCCGGAGCCCCCTCCCCCCGCCCCGCCCCCCCGCATCCTAACCTCCAATTTTGTGAGCATTCATGGCCCGCCATACAATTTCCATACCTAGATGTGGCCCTCTGGCCAGAAAGTTTGCCCACCCCTGCCTTAATATATCTTTAAATGTCCTTATTTGGACATTGGGTTTATATTAGTTATATATTATACTTTTTTGTTGTTTGGATCCAAGTGTCCTGTATACAGCTTAAGTGTAGGATACTGCCACAAAAATACTTCGTACAACTTAATTTCTTCTGATTAAAAGAACCTAACATGGTTTTAATAGAACTATTACAATGGCTCTGTGGAGTCATTGTGATTTTATTGGATGTATTCAAGGCACATGGTTACATTACAATATTTTCATTATACTGGCTTTTACTTTACAGATCTTTCATTGATATTATAATAAGCTAGTCTGTCGCCAAAAAAACCCAAGTAATTATAACAGCTCTCTGTACATTATTTATCAGTATACAGACAGCATTGTACAGTAGTTTAACTTAAAGAACCCTGAAGCATTTCTCTGAAGAGCTGCCTTTACTTAGTTTTGTTGTTTTGATGTGTATGACTCAGTGGGCTTTTTTTCTCTTTCAGAACAACTATTGGAATTCATGCATCAGTTGCCTGCTTTTGCCAACATGACAATGTCAGTGAGGAGAGAACTTTGTGCTGTGATGGTATTTGCAGTTGTGGAGAGGGCAGGAACCATAGTACTAAATGATGGGGAAGAGGTCAGTGGAATTTGCTTTGAATCTTCTTTTGTGCAGACGTCAGAAAATCTGGAAACGTTTATTTTGAAGTTTGGAAATTAATTTCTAGTTGCTGGAAAGCAGCACTAGGAAGTAATTTGTTTGTATGCCTCTTTTGTGTTGTGTTGATTATGGTTTATTCAGTTCAATTTGCAAATGATTTTTCAGTTTAAACACCCAGATCAATTTACAAGATACATGCAATAGAACTTAAGAAAATTTTCTCAATAAAGGCTATACAAACACATGTATTGTTAATGATCAGAGCCGATTTCAAATTATTTTTATTTTTGATCTTTCAGTATGGTTTAAATACTGCCAAGGGTTTTATGAATTGTATAGGTTTTATAATTCCAAGAGTTTATTAAAGGCTAAATATTAGATTCCTTAAGGAGATGGAAGGAATTATAATTTTTCAGATAAACTAGTTCATCCTCCTCCTTTCTTGTTTTCATAAATAGTTGCTAAAAATAAACTAACTTTTAAAAAATGTATAAGCAATTCTGGGAATAGTGTTTATACAGTTCCATGCTAAAATGCTAAGTGAGTAGGTGATTGTTCTTTTCACCTATCCTGTACTGTTCGATTTCTAGCTGGACTCCTGGTCAGTTATATTGAATGGTTCTGTGGAAGTGACATATCCCGATGGAAGAACAGAGATACTGTGTATGGGAAACAGTTTTGGTGTTTCCCCTACCATGGACAAGGAATACATGAAAGGAGTGATGAGAACCAAAGTGGATGACTGCCAGGTAGAGTATTTTACTCCATATATATTTGCAAAACACAGTTATAAATTATATAGTACTGTCTTTACAACATACCTGCATTTTAAAAAGTGTTTGTGGCAGAGTTTATGTTAAGTTTATCTGGTAGGGTGCAGAGACAGGCCTTGGAATTGTTCTATAGAGTAATTTTAACAGGGATATTTTCTCTCCAATACATTTTATTCAAAAATCAACTTCCTTCTTTTCTTTCATTTTAAATGCAAGAATGGCTTTGTGCTGAGTTGGGGCAATGTCTTTGAGCACATTTCTAATAGTTCATTGACAAAGGTGAAATAGAGTATTCTGTTTAGTAGTGTGTGCTGGAAATTTGATATTAATTACGAAATGACCTGAAAAAAACTAAATTCATTTTGAATTATATTGGGGCAAAATATAAAGGTAACACATGAGTTCATCAAAGCAATCAATCAGAAGTCTCAAACACACAATGTCAGAGGACCCATCAAGAAAAAGCAGCATAATTTATCACTATCCTTATGTTTGGTTAATATGATTGCAAATGAAATGTCAGTTCAGTTTTTGGTAATTGTTCATAAAAAAAAATGATTCTAGATCAAATTAGGGCTTGACATCCTCAGGTAATAAAATTAAATGCACAGCTACTGCATGAATGGATTTATGTGACCAAAAGCCCAGGAGAAAAACATCTGGGTCTAAAAGAAAAAAGGATTTATGGTTCCGTTTGGACCATTTGTCAAATTATTTTACTTCTAGTGAATTTCCGGAGATATGCCAATTGTCCAGTGGCCACGGTCTGATATTTTGACTAATGTAAAGGGTAAAGGGTTATATCTAAATTATCCAAGTGCATTACTAGTGGTGTTAATGTATTTATATAGCACTTTTGTTGCTCGCTTAAATATAAATTGAGATTCTTTTGATTTCTTTCATAAGTGGCATTTTCCCTTAAAATGCTGCATATTAAACAGATAGATGTCTTATGTTGAAAGGGAATGATCCATGTTGGAATGTAAATGTTTTCATCTAAAAGTACCATATATACTCATTCATAAGCCAAATTTTTTTTAGTAAAAAAGGGAAGCACCAGAGAAGGGGGTCGGCTTATGAACGGGTATAGAGAGGGAGAGGTGGGACACAGCCCCTCCTCTCAACAGAGGGAGCAAGGAGAGGCAGTACAGCCAGAAGGGAAGAGGCGGGGCCACGCTGCTCTCCCCCCAGCCTCCAAAGCAGCTGGCAAGCTGCAGCCGTGCCACTCGGCCTCGCCCCCCAGAGCAGGCTGTGGCCACGCTGCCCAGCCCGCCGGAACACGCTATGGCCATGCCGCCCGACCCAGGCCTCTGGAACATGCGGTGGCCGCGCCGTCCAATCTGGCCTGCCGGAGCAGCTCCAGCCAGGCCAGAGGCATCCTCCACAGATAAGGTGGTAAGGGATGGGATGGGGAGAGTGTGGCTAGGGGTGGGGTCATGTGAGGGGTGATCACAGGGGTTACTCCCCTGACCTCCAGCTTCTCCCACCACCAAAACATTTCCCCACCAGTTGCTGTCCCGGCCCGTCAGGGTAAGCAGCTAGCGTGCCAGGACAATTTGTTTACTTAGGTTTACCTCTGTGCCTGCAGACGCTCGAGGTAAACAAACCATCTTGGCCTACCAGCGGCTTATCCTGATGGCCCAGGAGCCAAAGTTTGCTGACCCCTGAATCATAGGGTCGGCTTATGAGCGGGTTATAAAAAATTTCCATTTTTACTTATCCATCTTGGGGGGGGGGTGGTCAGCTTATAAATGAACCGGCTTATGATAGAGTATATACGGTAATTATTTTCTGTGTATCTATGCTACTCATAAATTAGAATGGTAGAATTTTCTTAATGGCTGGCTTAATATATTTATGATTACTCAAAGAACAAAAGTGAAAGTTTGCTTACCCATAGCAATAGTGGTACCATAATTATGGATAGGGTTTTCCTTCCGTTGTTCCCTTTTTAAATGGCTCTGAAGAGGAGGAGGAGCAGGAAGAGGTTTCCTTGAGGAAAATTTTACAAGTGGGATTTACTTTTATTGGCAGAGAAAATGCAACTATATGAATATTCTATGGAGATATTAAATCATCTTGAATCGATGAATCTTGCACTCTCCTGAGGCAAAAATTATAGTGGAATTTATCACACTTGCTTATTCAGCTGTTTACTACAGCAGAGCTCTTAGAAAGACAATTTTGGCCATCCATGGCCTGAGAAGTTACTTTATCTTCAGTAATCATAGAATACTTGTATTTTAAGTCCAGACAGTTTTTTTTGAGGTCTCAGAACTCTGTACCTTTTAATATCTATGCCTGATGATTCTTTCCAGTTTGTCTGCATAGCCCAACAAGATTACTGCCGCATCCTCAATCAAGTGGAAAAAAACATGCAGAAGGTAGAAGAGGAGGGGGAGATTGTTATGGTGAAGGAGCACAGGGAGCTTGATCGCACTGGAACAAGAAAGGGTCACATTGTCATCAAGGTAAAAAAAACAACAACAACAACAACCAGATGCTTTGTAGATTTGTATGAGCTCTTCCTTGGTGACCCAAGTCCAGAATTAGTTCAGCCATATATTTGAACTACAAGCTTTCCAAAGATTCTTAAATAAAAGAGCTAAAAAGCAATTCAAAATTAAACACAAAAAAATTGCTGTTTTTTCAGGGTTCTTTGATTGTTTTAATTTAGTAAAGTTTATCAATCTCTTTATTACAATGGTCAAGCTATTTTTTATTGTTTAACACATTGGTGACTAGATAGGCTTAATGATACTATTACGTTTAGTGTACCATCAAGATGTTAGATGAAAATAAAAAAGCATTCATGCTAGTTAATAATTAAGCTTTTATTTGTTATAGGGAACATCAGAAAGGTTAACAATGCATTTGGTGGAAGAGCACTCAGTGGTGGATCCAACATTTATAGAGGATTTCCTTTTGACCTACAGGACCTTTCTTTCCAGCCCAATGGAAGTGGGCAAGAAATTGTTGGAGTGGTTCAATGACCCTAGCCTCAGGGATAAGGTTGAAAAAATGACTACTTAAAACTTACGATTGTGAACTCATGTGTATTTAAATACAAATTATTAAGATACAAATATTTTTGTAATTTTTATTTATAGCTTTAAACCAGAATAACTGGATTTGGTCGAACAACCAGCTAATAGTATATGAGGAAATGTTGGTTGTAGAAAATGTATGCTAAATCAGGCGAATAGTTATTAAAAAAGTGTAAAGCACTACCGTTAAACACTAAAGGGGGAGCGTGGGAGGTATTTTATCACTCATGTACCCATACTTCAGTCAACTCTGTATATTAAATAATTGGTTGTAGAAGTATCAATCCTCTTTTTAAAATCCTCAGTATTTCAGTAGACTATAGTCATAGAATCATAGAAGATTAGGGTTGGAAGAGACCTCAGGAAGTCATCTAGTCCAACCCCCTGCTCAAAGCGGGACCAGCACCAACTAAATCATCCCAGCCATGGTTTTGTCAAGCCGGGCCTTAAAAACCTCTAAGGACACCTTCCTAGGTAGCCCATTCCAGTGCTTCACCACCCTCCTACTGCAATAGTGTTTCCTAATATTCAACCTAGACCTCCCCTACTGTAACTTGAGACCGTTGTTCCTTGTTCTGTCATCTGCCACCACTGAGAACAGCCAAACTCCATCCTCTTTGGAACCCTCCTTCCGGTAGTTGAAGGCTGCTATCAAATCCCCCCCCCCCACCCACTCTTCTCTTCTGCAGACTAAACAAGCCCAGTTCCCTCAGCCTCTCCTCGTAAGTCATGTGCCCCAGCCCCCTGATCACTTTCGTTGCCCTCTGCTGGATTCTCTCCATTTGTCCACATCCTTTCTGTAGTGGGGGTCCCAAAACTGGACACAATACTCCAGATGTGGCCTCACCAGTGCGGAATACAGGTGAATAATCACTTCCCTCGATCTGCTGCAATGCTCCTACTAGTGCAGTCCAATATGCCATTAGCCTTCTTGGCAACAAGGGCACACTGCTAACTCATATCCAGCTTCTCATCCACTGTAGTCCCCAGCCTATAGCGGTGCATGGGATTCTTCCATCCTAAGAGCAGAACTCTGCACTTGTCCTTGTTGAACCTCATCAGATTTCTTTTGGCCCAATCCTCCAATTTGTCTAGGTCACCCTGGACCTATCCCTACCCTCCAGCATATCTACCTCTTCCTCCAGCTTAGTGTCATCCGCGAACTTGCTGAGGGTGCAATCTATCCCATTGTCCAGATCATTAATAAAGATGGTGAAGAAAACTGGCCCCAGGACCGACCCCTGGGGGCAGTCCAATATAATTCTGTGGTAACTTAGGGCCTAAATCTATGGCAGGAAATATTTCCTTGTTTTCTGTGCACAATAATGGTTTAATGCAATTTGGCAAACACTTTCTTCTAACATTTTTCTTAAATATAAATAAAAGCAGAAAGACACCAGGCTTGATTCTCCCTTCACTTCACATGGTGAAAATTGGGGTAGCTCCATTGAAATCAAGAGTATAAAGTTGGAGAATCTGGTCCACCATATCCAATTATATATAGGGCAGATAACACTGTTTATAGTTACGTTTGCGGCACTTCACTTTATAAAATCCTGTTTTCAGTTGCTTATAATTTTGCCAAACTTTAACTGTTTGGGTGAAATTGCGTATGCCAGATATTTACCTCAGGCTGTTTTTTTGTTTGTTTTTTTAGGGGAGGTTGCGGGGGTAAGTGGGGGAGGAAGAATTTCATCTAAAACAGTTCAGTTGTTTCTGTAAATGAGGTTAGAGAAAATACATTGTTTACCCATGTTAAAAAATTAGGATGAACTTTTCTTTAAGCAGGTCTAGTCATCCTTCCCCCCCCCCCCCCCCGCACAACTTTAGATCAGGGACTTGAAATTTGCCATGAAATTTGGTCAGCCTTCATGTGAGGGATGTGGCTTTTGCTGTCCCATGAAAATCCACCCCAGAATTTTAATATGATTTGCTTAAGCTCCAATGCCACATTCCCAGAAGATTCCCTCTGCACTGAGTGAGCTCCAGGTCAGGGCTGAGCAGGACTTTTTCTGCAGTTGGCAACAGAATTGAAAACAATGAACCCATCTCTTCTGGGTGCTCAGTAACCACCACCTACTGAAGCCCAGACAGTGTGGAGGAGGAAGGTTCTCTATTCAAATGCAGAGGGGGCAAGAGCCAGACCTGGAGGGAGAGGAGCAAAGGTGAGTAGCTTAGGACAGGGACACCTGGGAGTTAGGGCAGACTGAGCTTGGACACATGAAGAGAGGAGATGGAAAATGGAACTGAGAATTGGGCTAAGGAGACTGGGACTGGGAGCCAGTTGGGGAGAGAGGTACAAGGGGGGTGAATTAAGGTTGAACAAAACAATTTTTGGTAACTTTTGGTAGCTTAACTTTGCAACCTTAATATTCTTTGACTATAACAGGGTTAAAAAAAGAACGAGATAAATTCATGGAGGATTGGTCCATCAATGGCTATTAGCCAGGGTGGGTGGGAATGGTGTACCTACCCTCTGTTTGCCAGAAGCTGGGAATGAGCGACAGGGGATGGATCACTTGATGATTACCTGTTCTGTTCATTCCCTCCTGGCATTGACCACTGTCGGAAGACAGGATATTGGGCTAGATTGACCTTTGGTCTGACCCAGTATGGCCGTTCTTATGTTATGTTCTTCGAACATAGGGATTTTTTTAATGTGTAATATATGTATATACCCCTTTTGTCCATCAGTAGACAGCTCTTTTCAGTGTAATGTCTATTTTGTCAGTAACTTACGACATCCACTGTGATTTCTGTATTGAGATTGTCATTATAGCATATTTCAACACTAGTTCCTTCTCCATCCCAAACCTACACTTATATGTCTTGTCCCTCTTCTTTCCCCCCTTTTTCTTTCTATCTCATTCTGTTGCCTCCTCTATATTAATTGAATGCATTGTCTTACATACTTATCCCCCTAATCTGTAACCATATATTTTGTCATTTAAATTTATTCTAATAAATAAATTGAAACCCTTTAATAAAAGGTCCTTGTTATACTCTGCATAATAACCTTTTCATAAAAAAATCAACTTTGATACTGGAAACTTGTCCTTTCTTGTCCAATAATAGTTTAGCATACTACTGTTTAGTATTATGAAAGCAATATAAAATTTCTTCCCATCTAACCTCATTGAACACAGATCAAAAAAAAGCTTTAAATAGCCATTTAAAATATAAAATATATTTAATGAAAGTAGAATATAACTCTTCTCCCCTCCCAAAATAAATTAAAGAAAAAATAAATTAAAATATGCTGTTTATGATGACCTGGAGCTGCCATATTAATCTCTTCAAATGTGAGATTAAATAATGGCTTACATTGCAGTAAGAGTAGCTCAAATTTTGAACAGGGAGGTGGGGGAGATTAAAAAAAAATAATTCCAAGCCTTAGAATAGAACTAGGAATTTTGTGTAAATGGCCCATTCTGCAGTGATTCTAGGGTAGGAAAGTAATTCCATGAAATCATGGAGCACCACAGGCGCTGATTATACTTCAGTGTCAGAAAGGAAAGCTGTGAAAACTTCAGCTCAACAGATTCTGTCGTCCTCCGACCACGCCACACCGAATAAAAAATAAAACCACTAAAATTTAGATTAGTGTTCTAAAAGATTTTGTAAAGCAGTTTCTTATATGCTTTTGTACAATAGTTTTCAAATAAAAAAAATAAACCTTAGATTCTGTGGCTACTTGTATTTACAACATAGAAATGCCAAGTTTTGTTCAGTTAAAACAATGAATTATATATCCATAAAATTTCAAAAAGATTTAACCCACCTGTAAGTGTGACTTGTTTTAAAAATAAATCTGAAAAGCATGGCTGTGGATTGTTAAGGCTACAATCTTGTCCTTATCCCACATTGTTTGCTTAGGGACTGCAGCACACATGTGCAATTATCTCATTGTTAGGAACCCCTAAAATAGTTAATTAGTCTCAGTGTTATGAATTTGAGCTATTATGGTAAATTTGCTTGCTTTTGTAGATAAGTAGGAATCTACTTGAGGAGTCTGAGAATCCTTAACACAATAGACCATACAGCTCCAATTCATGTCAAGGTCTATTTGTAGATGCTTTAATCTCAGATCATTGACACAAAAGTGGCTTTGGTACTGTGTAAGTACATGTAAGTGGCAGTTGTATTGTCTTCACATGATTAAAATCTGCACAAGTTTTTATTAATGAAAAGCTGCTATTGGTGATGCTTAGTATTTTTTTTTCCTCAGTAACTCACTTTGTCAACATGACAGAAGTAATACAGTCATCATTTTGGTTACTATTTTGCATTTTAAGAACATAAAATATGTTGATTGAACCAAATCTAGTTTTAAATCAATGGGGAGAAAATGCTGCTGACTGAAACTTCATAGGTCAAGTTGCAGGATAGAGTAAAAGTTTACAGGTAGCTGTATTGTACTTGAATTCCTGACAGATGTTTAGCTATAGTAGTGCTGCCAGAAGGGAGTCTTTTCTGTAGTATAGTCTTAAATTGTAGTTTTAAAATATGGGAAGTCAGAAAGATAAAGTAAGAAAGCAACCCAACCCCTGTTGTAAAGATGACCATTAAGAATAAATTCATTCATTAGTAAAGTTAATTTATCTCTTCTGCCTTTTGTAAAGACCTATTTTACACACTCTTACAGAGGCACACTCCTTATGACGTTAATGGCTTTTTTGTCTAAAGGCTAGAGAATTCTTGTTTGTATACATGTCAGGAATTGCAGTGAACTGTGTAAATGCAGACTTAATTTTCTACCCTCTGACAAGTTTGATGTAACCAGCATTACCATTTTGAACAACTGTGAACTTTCCAAGCACAGTTTTAGGTGTTTGCTCATTTTACGACTCCTTGGAGACCTGCTGGTAAAATGTTGTGTCAGTGGAGTTGGCCTTGAGCAAAATTCTCAGTTTTCACAACTAAAATACCTGGAAACTGAAAAATAACCTGTTTAAAAGCTTTAGAAATAGAATTGTTCTCTGAATATGTACCAGGATAAAGTTTTATATTATTAATTGACTTACAGGTTACACGGGTAGTATTGTTGTGGGTGAACAATCACTTCAATGATTTTGAAGGAGATCCTGCTATGACTCGATTTCTAGAGGAATTTGAGAACAATCTGGAAAGAGAGGTAAGAATAATGGAGTTTTGTAAGGAAAAGAATTTGGGAAGGAGGAGTATTCAGGCTATTCTGTATATTTATGTCATTATTATGCTACTTTTTTTCCCCCTCTGCAGAAAATGGGTGGACATCTGAGGCTATTAAATATTGCATGTGCTGCTAAAGCTAAACGAAGATTGATAACATTAACAAAGCCATCTCGAGAAGCCCCTTTGCCTTTTATCTTGCTGGGAGGGTCAGAAAAGGGATTTGGAATCTTTGTTGACAGTGTGGATTTAGGTAGCAAAGCCACAGAAGCAGGCTTGAAACGTGGTGACCAGGTACATAATTTCAAAGTTTTACAAGTATATACTTGAAATTTCAGTGTCTTTGGTTAAGCTATTTTATTCCTTTTTTCCCCCATGAGTGCTGTCATATAGAGCTACAATGTAACTTGCTGCATACATCTTTGTACATTGAGACAGAGATTCTCATGTTTCTGTTTGTCATTAAATAAAAATAGTAAATTGTCGTTTTTACATTTTTTAGATACTGGAGGTGAATGGTCAAAACTTTGAAAACATTCAGCTGTCAAAAGCCATGGAAATTCTTAGAAATAATACTCATTTATCTATCACTGTGAAAACCAACTTATTTGGTAGGTTTGAGTACACCTTTTTCTTTTTGTTTTACTCTAGTAATCCTATATTCAATCTTTCAGATTAATCTTTTAGTTTTGTTTGAGTGTTATGTACACATAATGTGTGGAAGTAATTTATAATGAAGAAAGAAAAATTAGTAATTAAAGCATTTGAGTTAGGGATGGGAAGACCACAAAATGAATTTTTAGGTCCCCAAAGCATTTTATAACACAATTTTTTTTTAAAATTATCTTTAGTGGAAATTGCTGAGAGAAAACACAACTAATTTTTAGATTAATTTACATTACAGTTGTAAAAAATGTAAATTATCTCACATATGAAGAGGTTGTACTCTCACTTTCTGAGTTTTTAAGGCCAACAGGAACCACTGTAATCCTCTAGTCTGACCTCCTAACGTGTATATACACAAACATTCCTCTGGATATGGACCTGTCTTGGAACTTGGATGATCTGTCTTCATTTCATTTGTCTTTGCCTTCTCTTTTTGTATTTGGCCTGGCTCACATTCTTTCAGTCCTCACCCAAAGTAAATGCACTCAAGCCATATGAGCCTACCTATGGAAAAAATGAACTCTTACTCACTCATTTTCCCCACTTGCAAATCCCAGTCGCAAACATCTAACGCCTAGTGGTACATGGATATCATCTCTCACTTCCATCAGAAATTAATCATTTAAAGTCTGATCCTGTCTGATCCTTACGACTGAGTGCATTGATTTCAAAAGGACTATTTTGGGGATTCAGCACTATACCCAGCAGTAAGCCCTTGTAGGATCAGGCTCCTTCACTTGTATGCTTCTATTTTATTATGACCGAGGATAGATATTCTATTCAGATTTTTAAAATGAGTATGTACACATTTTTTCATTAAAATTAAGGCTGTTTTTAAAATGATTGATAGAATTTGCTGAGCAGACTTTTCTATAATGTTTAACAGTAGATTGGCATGGTGCTTTATACTTTTCTTCGTACTCAGAATTTTCTTTTAAAATACGCTGTTTATCCTTTTTCTTCCTGTGCAGTTTTTAAAGAACTTCTAACAAGATTGTCAGAGGAGAAAAGAAATGGTGCTCCCCATCTACCTAAAATTGGTGATATTAAAAAGGCCAGTCGTTACTCCATCCCAGACCTTGCTGTTGATGTGGAGCAGGTGATAGGACTAGAAAAAGTAAATAAGAAAAGTAAAGCCAACACTGTTGGAGGGAGAAACAAACTAAAGAAGATACTTGACAAAACTCGAATCAGTATCCTGCCTCAGAAACCATACAAGTGAGCATTTCTTAATCTCCTCTAAAATGTTTTTTTTTAAACTGTTGAATTGTTGATATAGAAGGATATAGATCTGTTAAGACAAAAATGTTAAATTTGCAAAAATGTAGGTGGTTCTTTTCTCGATGAACTGTGCCTGGTTAACTAAGATATTTGGGTTGGTTACTCTTCCTTTCGGAAAAGTACCTGCCCACTTTGTGTACGTCCTCATCACCTTAGGTATCAGAATGCTAATACTATATAAGCATACAAGCTTATATGACTGTTCTCCATCCCTTCCTCCTAAACACTGTTGTGGTGTGTGCTTGATATTTCTTCTAGGTACTCCTTTTCTTCTGTCTCCTTAGCCACATTGAGTTACTTCTTGAGTTACTCTCAGGAAAAGCAGTTGCAAAAATGTGGCAAACATCTTGCTTGTAACATAGCAGATTTGGTCTGTCTGGTGGAATAGAGTTTCACAGTTGTGGGCAAACCCAGGGCTGAGAAGGTACAATTCTCCTATCAATATTCGCAGCTGTTACACATGCTGGAATCAGGAATGGTGATGTTAAGTTTCTGTTCTCATCAGTGCACTGCAGGTTTGAAAAATTGTTTTACATCAGTTAGGATTTTCTGCTAAGTTGAATATTAACAAGGCAGTATCTTATGGAGCTAAGTTTGTTTTTTAGAGAGAATAGGTGGGCAAACAAATGGTTTGCAATTGACTCATAGCAGCTGAACAAGTTGTAGATTTCTCTAACCCATTGGCCTAATGTGATCTGCACACTACCATGTGGGAGATCAAATTACCATCCCCAAACCAAATTTTCAACCCAGGTACTTCAGTGGAGTTGGACATGATTACACAAAGACTAAATTTGGTCCCCCCAGTCTCTCTTGCCATAGACTGGCCTGGGACCTTTTAGAAATGGTGTGTTTAGATTCTAGATAAAAGGAATGTGTTGTGCTGGTAAACAACTGTGTGTTTGGCTAATTGAGGTATGAGTTGGACATTGTTTTATGGGAGTCTCTTCCAATTTTTCTCAGTAGAAGTCTGGGGAGCCTAATGGTGACCCGTGAAGATAGGGGGTAGGAAGATGAGCACAATGAAACACCAACCGTCCATGTCTCCAGCCAAGGAGCTTTTGTGGGGTCCCAGATGAATAGATGATCCAGTGGAACCAATATTTCCTATTGTAGAACCATTTTTCTCTTCTGTATCCCATAGGAAGGCTGTGTTTCTGCCCACAGTAATGGAGAGGATAATTGGTGCTCAGATTTTTTACTTCAGTAGTAATAACTGAGAACAGAACTGCTTCAATTAATGTTTAGGTATTAAAAACTAACAAACACTATGTAATTAGTGAAGATGCTATTGGCAGCAAGGGAAGAGAGAACAACATTATTTGCTTTATAAATGAACAAATTATAAAATGCAAATAGTGTATAATTTTAAAATGAATTTGTCTTGAAAATGGAGGTAGGCCACTGAAATTAAGGTTTCAGATATTTTAAAAGCAATGTGTGCTGTTGAAGTAAAGCTTGGTAATCTTTTGTAATGATAGTTAATGGTCTTTTATTGTGTTCACCCTTCCAGTCCCTGTGTTAAAATAAGATTTACAGTAGAAATTAGCATCTTTGATTCCTGTGGATGAAATGAAATGTGTAAATCCTTATAAAAAGAGCCTCATTTAATATTATCTGACTCTTAACTATTTCTCATTCTCTATATAACCATTCTTGCATATTTGTGCCCCTTAGTTCTCTGATGAACCAGACACATCATTCTCTGGAGTTTGTACTGTTCTCTATTAATCTTACTGCATTAAATTCATTTCTCTTAGTTTGTCACTTATTTTTTCTTTCTCCGTTTTTTTCTTCCTCCTTGCATTTTGCTAATTCCTGTGTAGGGGACTGTTTGGGTAAGAGTCAGAAAAACAACACAGTCAATCTAAAATCCTTTCCCCTTTGCTACCCTTAATCCCTGTGTTATGTATAGCAATGTATGTTCCCAAAACCCACTGACATTTCAATTTTTTGTTAATGTGTGATCTCCACATAGGGTTGGGTAGGTATAGCCTTTCCAGCATGTATATGTTCCACTTCCTGAAAGCCTCTAATTTAGATATCTTCATAAGTAACAGCATTTCACTGTCACTGGGCACTTAAAGAATTTTCATTTGCTATTTTTGAAAACCACAAATAAAGAGGACTGAAGCATTTCATTTGCCTATGTTAATTAAATGGTAAATTACTATTTAAAGGTAGGAAGGGATATATTTAAAGACCTCTTTATCTTCTTTGCTATCCAAGCAGGAAATGTGCACTCTTCCAATTGCTGTGTCTTGCTATATTAATAGTATCTCAGTGCACAATAAAAGAATATATAAAGTAATGGGAATCCATTTGCTTTTTCCCTTCAAGCCTCCTTCCCAACACCACACCCAAATAAAATATTTTGCACTACGGTGGGGAAAGTATGTTGTTGTGGCACCCAGGATCTTGCAATATTGCCATTTTTAAGTCTGATTTTCCTAGTTTTTACTTATTGTTTATAATAGTTCAAATCTCAGAAGTTTTGATGTAGTTTAAAAAAAATCAGTTTAGGCTCTTTATAAGAAAGAAAGTGAATACATTGGCTCATATATAACCTTTCATATGCGACTCTTTAGAAATATTACCTATTTAATCCTGACAACACCATAGTTAAGAACAACAGCCACCAAAGGGAAGCCATATCTGGTATGGAATACAGTATCTGTTTAACATTATATAGTAAAACTAAACAGTTTGACAGGAAGTAAAAATGAATGCAGTATCTCATTGAAATTGCAAGAGGCATTTAGTCAGGCAAAGTGTCATTACCTCGATCTGAGTGTAGCCAAAACATTGATGTTAACACCTCGACTCTTATGAAAAGTACTGCGGGAAGTTATCACCAAAAGTGATTGTGTTCTTGGGTTTTGCACTTTAAAGAAGACAGCACATCCAGCACCATAGATGTGTGATAACAACCTACCAAATATTGTTGAGTGGTGGCTTAGAGGAAAGAGTATTATCTACTGAATTACTATCACCACTTTTCACAGCACTCTAGGCTTTGTGTGGAGGTATCTCATCAAAATACTGATTTGGCCATAAGAAAGTGGGGCTTGCATACACTGGGCAAAACACTTGTACTTAAGCACAAAATGACATGGCTAAATGTGCTATAGCAACTCTAAATGAAAATGTAAGTAATAGATAAGAGTCAAATGCTTCCTATGGTATCCATGTTGATTTTCTGTTTGACTGTTGACGAATTGGCCAAGATTTTAAAAAATGAGTGCCTGAGGTACTTTAATTTAGTGGCCTAATTTTTAAAAGTGTGTTGGGCATCTAGCAGTTCTGACTTATTTATTTAGGAACCTAATATGGATTTAGGAGTCTGTTAGGCATTCACTGTTGAAAACCCTGGCCTTTGGTTGTTAAATTATAAAAATATTTCCATCTGCTACAACGGTTGTCATTAAACATTCAAAGTTTGCCACCAAAATGTTGTATTTGAAGTTCTCAGCTACATCCCGGTATGTAAACTCAAGAGCTTGGCTCCTCATCAAGAGCACATTACCCTGGCTTCTACACCCCCCACTGCTTCCAATTTGTTTCCATTGCCAATTAAGATCATCTTCCTGCACTCAAAGCCATCAATAGTGCCCATCATTAGATGACATCTCTCCATCTGTGACCTGCTAACACTGTTGTGCTCCTCTGGAATAATGCAGTTCACAAAAAATAAAGTGCCTAAGAGCTGGAGAAATATTGTTCTGGGATGAGGGGATCTTTTCTGGAATGAGTTACAAGAGGAGATTAGACTGAGCCAAAGTCTGATTGGTTTTAAAGTGCACTGCATGTTACCCCTTTTTAATAAATCTTCTCCACCCTGAATAAAGTGCTGAGATAACAAAACTAGCCATCTTCCCAGAAGTAGGAAGGGCAAAGAGCAGAATCCTCACTGGTTATTGGTAAGCAGATCTAATTTTATTGTTAGATAGCAATTTTATTGTTATATAGCACTTGGATACTGTGGCTAAATGCACCGTAGAGGAAACTATAAGATAGCTACTGCTTTTTGAGGACTGTTAATTTTTAAATGGCAAATACTGTAGCCATAACTAAAGCTTTGAAGATTTAAGTTCTGAAATTTCTTATTTTCTCATTACTCCTTGGCACAGTGACATTGGAATTGGCCAGTCGCAGGATGACAGCATTGTAGGATTGAGGCAGACCAAACACATTCCTCCTGCTTTACCTGTCAGTGGAACCCTGTCATCCAGTAATCCAGATTTATTGCAGTCACATCACCGCATCTTAGATTTCAATAGTACTCCAGGTAAGCATCAATTATTTTTACTCTTACCTCTGATTTTCCTCTAGTCACACTTTACTTTTAGGTACTCATTGTTCTGGATCTACCCATCAATTTGTATTTACATATGTTTTAACCTATAGACTGATCATGTATTGTATTAATATACAGTTCTTTCTTGTGTCATTGCTCCAGTTTATTTTAACTCCAGGCAAATATGTATATATTTTTGTTGTATGTGGAATGTATTGTCTGTAATTCAGGATTTTATATATATATATATAAAATATACATATACACACACACACATACATATTACATTTATTTATTTATTTATTTACCAGTGTAAACTTCAGGTACATGGTATATTCTAATTTGTCTTCTAGCTACACAAACATAGCTGGTAAGCAGTAATTTGTACAAGGCTGCAGTAAGCTAAAATATCACACACAAACCGTATACTAAAGTAGACTCTAATAAATTCAGTAAAGAGAAAAGATGGTCTTGAAGTTAGCATGGGGATTCCAGAGATTTAGGGTTCAATTCCTGTTTCTGCAATAGACTTTCTTGGGCAAGTCATTTCGTATCTCTCTGCCTCACTTCCTCATCTTTAAGTTGGGGACAATCTCCCAATCTTGCTCTGCCTTGTCTCTTTAGATTATAAACTCTCTGGGACACTGTCTCTCTCTTACCATATGTATGTGTAGCACCTAGCACAATGAATCTTTTGTCTCCCAGCCTATAGGCATCACCGTAATCGTAGTAGTAATAGTATGTGGCTCATAGATATGAAATAAATTTCAAGTAGTGAAATGGAAGCTAGCACAATTCTTAAACTGCTTCAGCTATATGAAGAGCTAAGGAAAGTGTAATAAAGAAAGTAAGTATTCATAGGCTTTTGTCTTAGATATGATAAATGTGACTTGAACAGTGGAATAATGCTTTAGCTTTAGCATTATAGCAGCACCTCAGTGACTTTTAGGAAAACAAAAAGTGTCACCATGCCTCAGTGGGTCACAGCTGAGGATACCAGATTCAGTACAAACTGCTGAAAAATAGGACAGACTCATCCCAAAGTGGTGCTTATTCTTCCATTAGATATACCAATCCAGTATAAAAGTAAACTTCTGTCTCACCACATTAGTTAACAAGAAGTCAGAAATGCAATCTCCTTAGGCATTCCAGTACTCATTTCACCACTCAGACACTAGACTTTATGATGAGTGGTTATTTAAAACTAATTTAATGAAATAAAGGGTCCTTCTAATCCCAACATATCAGCCACATAGGTCAATATATAACTCAGATCTTACCTAATAATCATGCTGTTGCCAATCCTTTAGTATCTACTATTTAAAGGGTTATTTATAAGAGAAAAGAAAGAGGAGAGAGTTAAAATGGTTAAGGAATATATACACACAATCATTGCAAAGTTCTTGGATCTGATTTTTAGCAGTGATATTACAGACTGTTGGCTTGTAAAGTCTTAGGTAACTTCCAAAAGGTTGGAAGGCCCTCAATTCATAGTCAATATGCTCCTTTTTGTGCAAATCCATAGTCCAGAGATCAGAGCAGGAAAGAGGTAAAAGGAGATGCTTCCAGGGTCCTTTATACCGTTTCCCATGTGGAGGGGATACTCTCAGGCCTTGGCTACACTTACCGGCAAGTTCGACGGCTGGAAATCGAACTTCTGGGTTCGACTTATCGCGTCTAGTCTGGACGCGATAAGTCGAACCCGGAAGTGCTCGCCGTCGACTGCGGTACTCCAGCTCGCCGAGAGGAGTACCGCGGAGTCGACGGGGGAGCCTGCCTGCCGAGTGTGGACCAAGGTAAGTTTGAACTAATTCGAAATAAGGTACTTCGAACTTCAG